ATGTGCGTCCAAGGAGAGCTGGAGTCAGCAGAAGGCCTAGAAACATCTCCATTTCTGGCTGGGGATGTAGCTTGGTGGTAGAGTACTTAGCTAGAATGCATGAGTTTCAACTGCCAGTGCTGTAAAGAAGGTCAACAACAGCGCCATCAACAAAACTGTATTTCCTAACATGTAACACTGGCTGTATTAATTGGAGCAGTCATGATTCTCCAGAGAACAGAATCAGTAGGAGATTTCTGCTCTTTCTGTCTCTCCCAGGTGGAGAAGTCCTCTGACATCCTGAATGCTGTTTGCAACCTGGATCCCCAGGATGGTTAGCAATACAATTTTGGTTTGATTCTGAAGTCTGGGGAACCAGTAGACCCAATGGTATAAATCTCTAGTTATTAACACATAACCACATTTAATCTCAGATTTTGTTAATTAATATGGCATATTTATTTTGGTTTTTTTCCTTGAGATAAAAATGTTCAGTATAAAATATGCAATGCATAAGTTACTACATCATATGATAATCACTTATGGGAGATAACATTGAAAATCAAATAGCCTTATTTATGTGGAAAGATGGATGTAGAAACAAGCTAATAAAAATGTATTTATAAATCTACTAGTGTACAGTCTCTAATGGCCTGTCGATATTGCATAATATCACTTTCAAAAATTTTAAACACATTTAAATTTGTTTAACTTTTTTGGAGGAATAGTACATTTAAAAATGAAGTTAAAGTATACAGTAAAAATTTCCACTCAATCCCCGTCTATTCAGAATCTTTTTGCCTCCCTCAAACAGAGAACCATAGTTATTAATTGGATTTTTTTGGGGGGAGGGGTAGTCCTGGGGATACCTAGCCCTTTTAAAATTTAAAAAAAAAATACAAGGTCTCATTTGCCCCTGGCTGAGCTTGAACTGGAAATCCTCCTGCCTCAGCCCTCTAGAGTCCTGGGATTACAGGTATGCACCACCATGCCAATTTGAACACAACCACCTCCCCTCCAACCTTTTTACATAAACTGTACAGAGCTCTTCCTGTGTCCCCACCCCTTCCTTTAGCGGTCTAGCAGTCCACTGTAAATACATAGTAATTTATTCTTTCAAATTTTATTTCCTAATTTTAACTCTCTGGAACTTGATTTTGGCCCTTGCTCCACAACTCTGGAAATAAGGCACATAAGGTTCCTGGTCATTCTTTGTCTGTTCAAAGAGAAGAGACACAAACATTGGTGGCCCTGGGTCGGGGCTGTCCTGGTACTTCTTTCCTTCCCATGGGCCGATAGATATGTTCCCTGTCTTCTGCAAACCGCCTTTGGTGCCCTCGGCTGGGCTCCGAGTGACAGGGAACATGGCTGCCATTGGGCTCCACTCACAGCGACGCCATGACAATTGCAGGCTATGGTGCCAGCCCTGCTGCTCATGCAGTCCTGTTCCCCAGACCCTGAGACTGGGCCTGTTCCCCCTCCCGGGTCATGATGTGGTCCTGAAGCCACACACTTGTCCTGGTTCCTAATTACATCCCCTGATGATGGGAAAGCCCAAGAAAGAGATGCAAGGGACAACAAGAACTTGATACTGGCAGACAGGCAGGCCTGAGAGTCCCTTGGGGACAAAGCCCCTGCCCCAGCTGGGCTCTGGCTCTGTGGAGCAGCCCTGTCGTCATGGGCACACCCAAGCAAAGGCCCACACTTGTACCCTGGGGGGAGGGGTGGCCAGTCATTTTGGAGAAGCCAACAGGGCCAGAAGGGTCCAACTCTCCCTTTCAGCTGTTGAAAGCAGCAAAGCGGCATCTGGGTGCTTCAAAATTCCTGGGTCTTTCCTTCACAGGGAGATGGTGCTCAGTGTCATTTGGTAGATGCCAAGTGACTGAAATGAATTGTGTGTGTGTGTGTGTGTGTGTGTGTGTGTGTGTGTGTGTTCACATGCCCTTGTGAATGTAGTATGATAATAACTAACATTCCTACATTCGAGCACCTTTGGAAACTGTTTTTTGATAATTCAGCAAGAAAATCCCCTTGCTTAGAAGGCTCGGATACATTTGCCTTACACTAAATATCATAGCTAACCCTGATGACCTGCTAGATGCCCATCACTTTGCTAAGCCCTTGCCATCTGGTATCTCATGTACCAACCATCAGTAACTCTGTGATGGAGGTCCTCTTACTACCCAAGTCCCACAGGAAGCTGAGAGGGTCAGGAAGGCTCAGTGACCCGGCCAGTGTCCCACTGCACAGGCAGAAGGACTTGGGCTGACTGTCTCCAGAGCCACTGCTCTCACAGTGAAAATTTACTCTGGAGCTGAGGATTGGTCATAGATTGTTGAACGAGCAGTGAGATTCCCCACATTTGAAGAGAGTGTTGGGGGAGAGAAAAATCTGTTGGATTTACCCACTTCCAAAATATACAACTGTCTACCTTTAAATTAGGTCCCATACAACACACAGCAGCCTTCCTTCTGCTTTAGACTAAAATGGGAAGCATCCATTCAGCAGTTAGGAATATGTCCATGTCAAAGGCATGTGTGTGCCATACTGGTTTTTTTTGTTTTCTGATTGTTTGATAGTTGGTACTGGGGGTTGAGCCCAGGGCCTTCACACTAAGCTACATCATCAGCCCTCCTCATTTAAATTTTGAGACAGGGTCTCACTTGATCGCTAAGATACCCAGGCTGGACTTGAACTTGTGATGCTCCTGTCTCAGCTTCCCAGAGTGCTGGGATTATACGTGTATGCCACGGTGCTGGGCCATGCTCTGGGGCTTAAGGCTCTCTATGCAGCCTTCTCAGCTTCCTGGGGAAGAGTCTTAGTTCCTGGCCTGTGATTAGCTCTGCCTGAAGGACACAGTTTCACCTATTCCTGTGTTCTTTTGTTTTGTTTTGGTTTTGCCACCCGCTCTTTTCCTGTGAGCTCCTGGCGAGCAGGAACCATGTGACATCCAGCATCTGGCCAGAGCTGTGGCTCAGTAAATAACTGAAAGGTGCTGGGGTGGGGAGAGATAAATCAGCTTGCCTCTTTCCCTTCTCATTGCTTTATGCAAATGGAATTTCTTTTTTTTTTTTTTTTTTTTGGTGCATGGAATCAAACTCAGGACCTTGTGCTTGCCAGGAAGGCACTGTGCCACTGAGCTATATTGCCAGCCTTGCCAGTGAAATTTCTAAGAGGCATGGGGAGTACTACAAACTTCTACCAAGTCCCTCTTTCCAGGATTTGTTGCCCTGTGACGGGAAGCAGGATTCTTTTGCCTGGTTTGAACTACCCCGTTCATAGAAGGGCTCTTCAAGTCCTCAGAGTGAGGGACTTCAGGGTACTCCATCAGTGGGCACGTATGGCATCTGAGACCATCTTGGTCCTCATGTTCCCTATCCTTCTTCTATGACGGCTACAAGGGGGAGATCAGGAAAAGGAGAGGGATGCTGTCCTAGGTATAATGATACAGAATTAAGAGTGAGGTTTTGCCAATGAAAATACCCTCTATTCTTTCTCTTCCTCATCAAAGCGGAGATCGGTTGTTTTCAGTCATATCCTACAGGTCAGTGGCTTTTGAAAAACTTCAGGTTAAAGGAGGGCTCGGTGAAAATTTTTTTAGACATGTCCAGCTGTTTTCCAGAGTGAACAATTTTTCTGAGGCCGTTTACAAAGCATTGCTCTTAATCACCTTGCTATCAGAGATCAGAGTGATTTAAACACTATTTCCCTATGTCATCAGGAAAGCACGGCATATCTTTTAACGGCTTCTCTTTAGAGAGGACAGTTGTAGAGGGATGGAGTCACCTCATGCTGTCACCTTCTCCCCTTCTTCAATGGCTGATGCTTAACCTGACACACTCTCACATTCATGCCTCGAGATGTCACTTAATGCCGCCCTTCCAGGGAGCCCTCCCTGAGCCCCCCCAACACTGTTGGATTATTCTTCCCCTGTGTTTGTAAGTTAGTTCACATATCCCAGCACTTGCCATGCTACATTCTGATTTGTGTGTCTCTTCCTAGCTGGTTTCACTGTTTTGATCTTCTGAATGAAAAACGGTGATGCGCCATAGTAGAAAAAACAGGAGGAGGAGGAAAAGGAGCAGGAGGAGGAAAAGGATGAAGAGAAGGAGGAGTATACAGTATCAGTGCGGTAAAACATAAAGCGCTGAACTTTACTGCCCAGAAGCAAGGGCTCAGTAAAAAAGACAAGACAGATACTCATCATTAAAATCCTTGTTTCCGGTCTCTCTCACTACCGCCCCTAATGGTGCCAGATAATAGAGGACTAATTGTATTTTTGAAAACTGGGCTCACAGTAAGGATTATTTACTGTACACTCAGGGATACAAGGATCCCCAAGTGCAGGATGCTTCTTGCTTAGGATTACAGACATTGTTCCTATGACTTCTGTTATTTATACGCTGGAGATGGCAGGACTATGCCAGTCAGTGTCATTCTTTCAGTTTTGCTGTTTTGCTTTTGTTCCCCCCATGTCAGTATCCCCAGCAGAATCATAACTTTTCACAGAGGCATCTAATTTCTTAACCTCCAAGCAGAAGAGAAGCATTTTTCAAATTTTCCTGTGATAGTGAAGGGGGACTGCTGAATACTTAGAGGAATTAAATTTAGACCTTCTCCAGTTGGATGTGGTGAGTTGCCCAGACAGAGATGAAGGTTAACATAGTTTAAGGATGAAATATAGACCATCCTGTGCAAAACCACTGTGTTGCAGTTTAATTAAAAGAATTCATTAAAGTGGTGCCCCATCCAGGGTAATTAGTATGTGTAATTTATGCACTGCCTAATACACAAGGGCAGTAGCCTGAATAATAAACTCAAGTTAACCTTAAGTGGAAGAGATTGAATGGTCAGATGTTTATTTAGCTCAGGTTTGCTCGAGAGTTAAGGTTAAAGAGGTGAAACTCAGTTACAGTTAATTAATTAATTTCTCAGGTTTTTCTTCATGGAAATCCTCTCTGCTGAATTGGATAAAAATTTTGTCAAAGGCAGATGGCTCTCATTTTTGACATGTCCTCTAGCAAGTTGGTAACTATCTGAAAGAACAAATTGAAGGGAACTGCAGAGAAAAAGAAAATAAGACCCAAACCCAAACCAAACCCAAGACACGAGCAGATTTAGAGTTTGTGCCTAGAAGAAGAAAAAAGTCTGCAGCAGGCTGCAGGTGGACGTCGCAGACGAGATCGAGATGTGTGGTCAATGGCCGGCTGCAGGTGGACGTCGCAGACGAGATCGAGATGTGTGCTCAATGGCCGGCCCCTGTTCAGGAATTTGTGTTTGACCTATGTGAGTTTCTGTTGATGGCTAGAGGGCATGCAGGTCACAAACACAAACTAGTGCTTATGCAAGTTCTCTGCATTCCTTTTGTTAGAAAGACTTCATCATACCCTGATGCTGTGATGTAGTTTTTGTAGAATAAACCTGAAGAGTTCAAAGTTACACAATTAATTGTATTCAGCTTTGATTATAACCACTTATTGAGTTGCTCAGCCAGGCCTTGTCACCTCCTACAGAGGCTGGGAGGGGAAGTGGTTAGGCCCAGCGAACTTATGAGCTCCTAACAGCAAGCAAATGAGGTGAATTGCTGCTGCCTGGTTTGTGTTTTGGCGGCTACATGGAGGTGGGAGTGCTGAGGGTTAGTTGTTGGGAGAAGTCAGGAAATACCTCAGTGGATTTGATGTTTTGGACTGCAAAGACAGAAGACTGTAATGAAATCAGTGACAAAATCCCTGCTATTTACTTGGCATCACGTCTGTGTGAGGCCCTGGGCCAGTCCGTGGGTTTCCAAATGGAATGTGAGCATAAGACCAGGACACCCTCTTGGCCTCACCCCACCTGCCCTCTCCCAGGAACTGTAGCCTAGCAGAGGTAAGGACAGAAGACTTCCACACGCAACAGCTGAATTTAGAGGTCTACAAGAAGGTGCCCATCTTCATGGAACTCGTCTCTTCCATTCCACAGTGACCCAGCGGGCTGCCACCCGCCCTGTCCACCTGCCTGGAGAGTGTATGAGGTCCTGGCTAGGACCACCAGATCTGCTCTTCTGTGGGCTAGGAGTGGGGAGGGAGATACACAGAGAGATGTACAATGAGGAGGAACGGCAGATGTCACAGAGTCACCCAATAATGGCTACCCAGGGCCTGCTGAGGTTCCTAGCTGGCCCGGTCCCTTCCTAGAAAGTGATTTTTCAGCTCTTGCATTTTGTGATCTTTACAGTGTGTTGGCAAAATCCTATCTGCTCTTTGTCAGCTACAGTTAGCTTCTGAGATATGCAATCGAAGCCTCCCAATAAAGGTGATGAATGGTCCTGCCATTCAAGGTGGAAGAGCATCTGTCTGGCTGGAGGGTGGGTAGGGTGGAGGTGATGCGGTGCACTGGATCCTTGCACACCCTGCTCACTACTGCACCCACAGCACACACAACCTTACAGGACACTCAACAAATGTCATTTTGCAGCTGGGGAAACTGAGCTCAGGAAAGCTCTGTAATACCAGAGGCCACGATATTGGCAAAGTGAGACTGGAACCTGGGACTTCCGGACCTCAGAACCTCTGAGACTCCGGAGTGTGGCCTTGGGAAAATCACTAAGCTTCTCTGACTTGAGGTTCTTTAGTGATAAGATCTGGGTGACGACATCGGCTGCTGTGAGATAAAGGCAAGAAGGTCTGAGAAGCTCTTTGAAGCCGGTCAGGGCCCCCACCTCCCCAAACGCATGCAAAGGCGTCTTAGGTGCAGTTCCAGCTGGGACGGGCTAGGTTTCCAGAGGTGAGAAGCACGAGGCGGTCCAGGGTATGAACAGAGTTATGGGATACAGTCCCAGGAGAGGCTGAGGCCAGAGTTCTTGGTACTGGAGAGTGAGATTTGAAAGGGACGGTGTGAGGACTGACAAGAGGAAGTGCTGCTTTGCAGACAGTGAAGGAACCGTCCTGAGGTCGGAGCATTTGCACACACAATCTGATCAGATCTGCACCGCAGCTCTAGGAGGCCTGTGTCATCCCCGTTTCCCAGCGGAGATTCTGAAGCTCAGCAGAGTTACGAAGCCATCCTCACGTCAGCGTGGAAAGGACGGGGACGGGTTTCACACCCTCGCCTCACACAGCCTGTTGCCTCTTCTCAGTCGCCCTCCCACTTCCTCTCTTCACTCCCTCCTCATGCATAACTCAGTAGCTGGAAGGAAAATGTACTCGTCCTGGATGGAATTTGCTGTGTGACTTGAGGTTAACCACTCTGTCTCTGAGCTTGTTTGTGTAATGGTGACATCCGACATACTTATCCAATGAGATTTCTTTCAAGACCTTGTTTAGGAAACATCCTTTTCACTCGTGCATAAATTTCCACCAGCCCCAGGGCTCCGCAGCTGCATATTGCAAAGCAGGTGGTTTAGTCTTACAGAGCTGGTTGGAGACCCCAAAGGAAGCTCCTTGGGCAGCTGCCGCAGTGGTCTGCCACACAAAGCACCTTCACTTGAAGCAACTCCAGAGCTTAATTTTGGGATAAGCATCTCGCTGACAGTGCCTTACTGTAACTTCAGTGGTAAACTGGATGAAAGCAGAAGCTGTGCTTCTTGTGCGCGAGAACAGTGCCTGCCCCCCAGGACTCGAGAAATGTGTCTGAATGTTTCCACTTCACTCACACAAGATTGTTCAAATACGTGAAGATTTGTGATGAAGGCGCCCTGGCATGGGCCACAGCCTCACGGCACACTCTGCAAACCCACAGCCTTTACGCATTGACTGTACCAACGTACACAGGCCACTAAAAGTCCCCACGCTCAGCTTCCTCCTGTAAAATGTGGATAACAGCACGCAGCGCTGTTCTGAGGAATACCTGGGTCACGTTTGCGAGAGCGTGAGAAGGCGCCTGGGCAAGGCGTTCTCATTCTGCGCCTCTCCACGCTTGGGCCGCCTGGGGCAGCAGCCACCAGGCACGCGGGGCCGGGGAGCACTTGAAACGCCACCATGGCCACCAACGAGGTACAGTCATAAAGGAGTTTCACTTAAATCCAGTTTTTCTGCAGAGGCGTAAATGTCTTAAACATAACTTGATCCTGGGGTAAGACGACATTGCACTTTCACCGCTGTACTGCCTAGGTGGTGTTATTCTGTCGCAGCGTGCGTACCGGGGCAAGGGCTACAGGGCCACACGGCCCTCGTCCGCGCGGCGGAAGCTGGGTCCTGTTCAGACGA